ACATTTTTTTTCACCTTTACCCTTTGACAACAAAAGAATGCCATCCACATCCTCCATAATTAATGTCATCATAAACCAAAGTCATCTCCTTCACCCTTCCTTATTTTTCAGCTGTTACTCTCTCACTATTCATTCTCTATTCAAACGTTTCTCTCTCTCTCTCTCTCTCTCTCAGGCACCACTCGGCAAGAACAAGCTCCCTCTTCCCCAGTTCATCTGTCTATATTAAATTCTGTCTTACCAGCCTACAACTTCTTAGTGGTTGTAAAGTCTTAAGGGCTTCTCCACACAGCAACCTGAAAATCAAATAACTTTACATAGCAACGCCTCTCCTTCTACGAGCTTTCCACCGCTAGATGAGATTACTCGTATAGTACTAGGCTTGTTATGGCATTTGAGATTTCAGATAGGGGGGATGCTTCTGTTGAGGCATATAAGTTTGATTTCCGTCATTTTTTGGTGATTTTGGGTAATTTTTCTGTTTAATTTCGTTTAAGTTTTGGGTTTGATAAATGTAAAAACTTTATTGTACAATCAATCTCAATTGTGTCGTAATGAAATCAAATGATGGCAGTGTTAGCAAACTAACACTGAGCGATAGTTTTACAAACCAAATAGTGATTGAGATTGTTAGTCGAATATTGTATGTTTGCCTTTAGGTGCTCATTTTCAATGTGTCGGTGAAATAAGGGGTTTTGATGAGTATTGCTTCTTGGTAAGTTTGAAGGCATGGAAGTTGGGCTTACCTTGGGCTTGGAGAATCAACAAGGATCTTTGAAGTTGTCCCCTCTGGAATGTGGTTGTTATGTTAAAAATGTGTCCATCGTGATGGATGGAGGAGCATCTTGGTTTTATCAAGGGTGTCTTAATTTATTTTGGTGGCAGTAATTTATATATATAAAGATTCTTATTTCTTTTCGTACTGGAATCTGGGTTTCATTTATTGTCCGGTGCCTAGAATAGAACTTTTGGTAACATCAACACACCTAAAGGGCTAAAGTATGATTTTGCTCAGTAAAATAAGTAGTATTTAGAAATAAATATGTTGAATCTATGTGCTAAATCTGCTGTTTGTCTGAATTTTTCCTCCATTTAAGCTTGCATGGTTTTTTCGTTTAATTTTAATTCTCAGTACACCAGGGTTAAATATTGTTTTGTCTGGTGTGATCTCAAAAGTTAAAAAAAAAAAATTTACTGGCTTCAAAGGAAGTGATATTAGTTGGTTGCTATCAAAACTTCCAACTGAACAAATGAGGGTCATGCTCAATTGAATGCTATAAACTGCAACAAGTTAGGTGGTATTCTTTCTATTTAATGCTCATCAATTTCATGTGAATTATATGAAATTCACAATGAGAAATCTTGTCCTCTACATGCAGAAATCTTATCCTGGAGTGTTTTAGTTCATATGAATTATATAGATCACCCTGCTCTGTGTATGTGTTTTTTTTAAAGGGTGTAACCACCAACTGAACTCATCGATTTATGACTTTTACAACTCATGAGCCATTTGATAATTACCCTATATACTTGAAGGTTATCAAGAGATACGTGTATTCTTTATTCTTTGTTAGCGAGGGCAGCCCGAGACATTTTGGAGCCTAAAGTGCAAATAATAAATGAGGCTTTTTATTTTTAATATTAATAATAAATTTAATTTTTAAAGTTTTTGAAATACAAAAATATTAATTAAGTTTTTATATTTAAGCTTTTGTTATCATATTTGAACTTGATGGAAAGAAATAAGATAGAGATTGAAAAATTATAATGGTAAGTTTGAACTTGACTTTTTTTTAGGGTTAAAACTTGATTTTTCAGTATTTTTAGTTTTATTGTTAATTTTTTTCTTCTTTTTTTTTTTTCAAAAAATTGAATTTTAGGGTCTTTTACTTTCATGAGCTGAATTAATAGGCTCAATTTACTTATGTTGAAATCTTTTGTTTGGGCTTAAATCTATGTTTTTTTTGTGGGGCCTATTTCTTATGCATTCAGATTTTTTCTGTGCATAAGGATCAGTTTTCGTACATTATTTGTTAATTTCACTTGGTGGACTATGTTGTCTCTTTCTTGTAACAGGTCCAAAGGCACCAAGCACAGACAGTTGAGGCAATTTGACAATTGGTTTGGTAGAAGATGTCTTGTTCACAAAAGATCACGGGAGCTGGAGATATGTATTCGATGTTTGTAGTCCCCCCCCTAATTTTCCTTTGGCATTCGTNTTACAAACCAAATAGTGATTGAGATTGTTAGTCGAATATTGTATGTTTGTCTTTAGGTGCTCATTTTCAATGTGTCGGTGAAATAAGGGGTTTTGATGAGTATTGCTTCTTGGTAAGTTTGAAGGCATGGAAGTTGGGCNCTTTAGGTGCTCATTTTCAATGTGTCGGTGAAATAAGGGGTTTTGATGAGTATTGCTTCTTGGTAAGTTTGAAGGCATGGAAGTTGGGCTTACCTTGGGCTTGGAGAATCAACAAGGATCTTTGAAGTTGTCCCCTCTGGAATGTGGTTGTTATGTTAAAAATGTGTCCATCGTGATGGATGGAGGAGCATCTTGGTTTTATCAAGGGTGTCTTAATTTATTTTGGTGGCAGTAATTTATATATATAAAGATTCTTATTTCTTTTCGTACTGGAATCTGGGTTTCATTTATTGTCCGGTGCCTAGAATAGAACTTTTGGTAACATCAACACACCTAAAGGGCTAAAGTATGATTTTGCTCAGTAAAATAAGTAGTATTTAGAAATAAATATGTTGAATCTATGTGCTAAATCTGCTGTTTGTCTGAATTTTTCCTCCATTTAAGCTTGCATGGTTTTTTCGTTTAATTTTAATTCTCAGTACACCAGGGTTAAATATTGTTTTGTCTGGTGTGATCTCAAAAGTTAAAAAAAAAAATTTACTGGCTTCAAAGGAAGTGATATTAGTTGGTTGCTATCAAAACTTCCAACTGAACAAATGAGGGTCATGCTCAATTGAATGCTATAAACTGCAACAAGTTAGGTGGTATTCTTTCTATTTAATGCTCATCAATTTCATGTGAATTATATGAAATTCACAATGAGAAATCTTGTCCTCTACATGCAGAAATCTTATCCTGGAGTGTTTTAGTTCATGTGAATTATATAGATCACCCTGCTCTGTGTATGTGTTTTTTTTAAGGGTGTAACCACCAACTGAACTCATCGATTTATGACTTTTACAACTCATGAGCCATTTGATAATTACCCTATATACTTGAAGGTTATCAAGAGATACGTGTATTCTTTATTCTTTGTTAGCGAGGGCAGCCCGAGACATTTTGGAGCCTAAAGTGCAAATAATAAATGAGGCTTTTTATTTTTAATATTAATAATAAATTTAATTTTTAAAGTTTTTGAAATACAAAAATATTAATTAAGTTTTTATATTTAAGCTTTTGTTATCATATTTGAACTTGATGGAAAGAAATAAGATAGAGATTGAAAAATTATAATGGTAAGTTTGAACTTGACTTTTTTTTAGGGTTAAAACTTGATTTTTCAGTATTTTTAGTTTTATTGTTAATTTTTTTCTTCTTTTTTTTTTTTCAAAAAATTGAATTTTAGGGTCTTTTACTTTCATGAGCTGAATTAATAGGCTCAATTTACTTATGTTGAAATCTTTTGTTTGGGCTTAAATCTATGTTTTTTTTGTGGGGCCTATTTCTTATGCATTCAGATTTTTTCTGTGCATAAGGATCAGTTTTCGTACATTATTTGTTAATTTCACTTGGTGGACTATGTTGTCTCTTTCTTGTAANTGTGGGGCCTATTTCTTATGCATTCAGATTTTTTCTGTGCATAAGGATCAGTTTTTCGTACATTATTTGTTAATTTCACTTGGTGGACTATGTTGTCTCTTTCTTGTAACAGGTCCAAAGGCACCAAGCACAGACAGTTGAGGCAATTTGACAATTGGTTTGGTAGAAGATGTCTTGTTCACAAAAGATCACGGGAGCTGGAGATATGTATTCGATGTTTGTAGTCCCCCCCCTAATTTTCCTTTGGCATTCGTACTGTGCTAGGCATTCTACACCTCTAAATTAAACTTATTGGCAGCCACATTTTTATCTCTGGAATTTTGGGTTTATATTTTTTTATTTTAATGTGTAGCAACATCCTTCTAAATTATTGTGTTCACTTGGGATTATTCCATTACCTCTTTGTTGACACGGCTTTATTTTTACTTCAACTTTCCTTTTTTCAGCTCTAATTAAATTTAATGTTATGACATAAGAGTCAAACTTATCTATGAAAGTTGCGAAACACACCCATTCTATTTCATGGAATAAATGATCGATATAACTTTAGGATTTTTACAATAATAATATACGATACTTGATACCTAAAATAATTCACGTGCACCACACGTGTGCACCAACTACTATTTATGTCTCTCAATCTACAAAATGACATCACCAGAGTTATCNCGATACTTGATACCTAAAATAATTCACGTGCACCAACTACTATTTATGTCTCTCAATCTACAAAATGACATCACCAGAGTTATCTGTGTCTAACACCCTGGAAATCCAACCATTTGTGCATAACATCTCCGGAGTTATCTATGAAGATTGTTAAGAGTTCTTAGTTATGTCTAATACAGAAACTAAGAACTCTGACAAAGATAATTATTTTTTTTTCTTGTGATAACACATACAAGAGATTGCATGTAAATTTTGAACTTTCTGTAACCAACATCATATTGTAGTTGCAAGAACTCGAGAAGTAAAAAAAAACTAGTCACTAAACACAAGATTAAAAAAAAACTAGTCACTAAACACAAGATTTGGTTGGGGTTATCCTCCCCGGGAAATGAACTTCATGACCACCAAAATTCTGTATTTCTGACAATCTATATGTGCTTACACTTTTTATTTTTTATTTTTGTTATTCGTTTTAGCAGATTTGGATAAGTTGTGGTTAGACTTATTAGTAATAATCCACATGAACCTAAATGTAAGCTATTGCTTAACAAAGTCAACCAAATACACGACATATTACCTCGGTACCTTTGGGTATATGTTGCACAGCCCGCACCACTGCCAACCTGCCCTCAAATACTAGAACCGCATTGGGCAAGCAACTACAACATCAATAATTGTTTAGAAGCAAGAAAGTGGAAAAGCATAACATTTTGATATGTTAAAGCTGTTACCTGTGGTTGATAATGGAAATGACGGGAAATAGTCCTGTACCCAGTGGTATCAGTTCACTATCACAAATGGTATGCGCATTGCAGGCAAGCTGCATGTTCAGAAAAATATGAGGTGTGATAAGCATTCATTAGAATATCACTTGGTCAAGTAGAGACCATTCAAGTGACAAATCTGGCCCTGGTGCAGCAACAAGTATCAATAAGAACATAAAAAGTTACACTCAAACACAGGGTTCATTATATTGTTCGGATAGATGATCCCAGTCCCAGGGGAAGGAGGAGGAGAAAAAAGTTTTGTATAAATTCTTGTAGTACTTCGTCGTTGTCCCGCAAAACTGCAACACATAATGCAATTTATGCCGTACAATTCCAAATTTTAAGTGAAGTAGAAATGTTATGCAGAATCTATGGGGAAGTACAACTAATTAGACCCACTTTTAGATAGAATACCTTGGAAAAGTTTTCTGCAGTCTCTTTTATACTGATCTCTGGCCACTGGAGTATCAAGTTGACGAGGTTAGCCATCTGTGCGTACAACACCAATTGCTTCTCATTGATTTCAGACAGGTCTTAACTTGTTAAAGTCAAGCAATCAAACCTGGTGATATATATATATATATATATATATATATAAAAGAGAAAAAGGTATATATACATCTTTGGATACGAGATACCAAGGCCTCCACGAGATTGTGGTTGTCAGTCACAGTACTTGGGATAATCTGGCAGAGGCAAAACAAATGAATCAAATTTTGTGCTTGCCACATATAAGGAAACGAGTCAAAACTCGTCTTTATTGAAAAATCAAAGAAAAAGTCCTTTCATTACAGACCTAAAATCAATGTGTAGAGTGGAATCTACACATTGATTCGGGTTTTTTTTTTGCAATGATTTTTGAACCATACGCGTCAAAAGATTCATGTACAATTCTTAAGGGATACAACTTTACCTGACCTTATCAAGAAAGATGTTACTTTTTTTAGGCCAAGAGGTTGATAGCAAAATATCGAATCAACTTATTAGTCTTATGGTATATCTCAATATCGAGGATGATACCAAAGATTTATATTTGTTTATAAACTCTCATAGGGGATGGGTAATAATCAGAGTAGCTATTTATGACCCTATACAATTTGTGTGACCAGATGTACATACAACATGCATGGGATTAACCGCTTCAATGGGATCTTTTATCCTAGTCGGGGGAGAAATTACCAAACATCTAGCATTCCCTCATGCTCGGCACCAATCAGGTTTTCACTTGAGAGGAAAAAAAAAGACTATTCCTTCGCCATATGAATTATGAATATTAATTAATAATACCATTCAAAGTAATTAATACCATGGCACTTTGAATTCGATATGAGAAAGTTTTTTATTATTTTTTTAAAGCATTAGATTATGTATCGAAAGAGTAGTATGAGATCAAAGGTATTTCCGATTTTATTTTCTATTGGGAGTCCAGTTCAGCGTCACAAACTTTTTTATTTTTACACTAGAGGACTCTTAACATATGTCATGAAAGAGTGCGAAAATAAAAAAATAATAATAAGATTGTATTTTCCTTATTTTATTTGATCGGCTCAAAAAGAAGGAGACCATGACTACACACTCTATATTCTCCCACGAAAGAAGGCGAACAACAAATAGCTATAACTACGTTAAGGAATCAAAATTATCACAGAATGGAAGAGAAACAAAAAGGCAAAGTTTATGGACCAAGAGAGAGTCTGAGGCGACATACANAGACCATGACTACACACTCTATATTCTCCCACGAAAGAAAGCGAACAACAAATAGCTATAACTACGTTAAGGAATCAAAATTATCACAGAATCGAAGAGAAACAAAAAGGCAAAGTTTATGGACCAAGAGAGAGTCTGAGGCGACATACATTCTAAATCTGCATCTAAAATCATTGCTGCTAATCCTAATTCCTTACACATTGTACTCAAGTTGCTCATACCTCCTAGCCCCATATATATGAAGATTTTTTTTGATTGCTGAAACAGTAGTCAGTGGGATTTCATTCCTGCAGATTACATGCCAAATAAGATGTACCTACATATGCTGATAAAAATGGAGCACCAATTTGTCTGGGTTTTGAATTTCATTTAGGGTTACCATAGGTGTATATCATTTTATATTTTTAAAACAAGCAGTAAACACTAGTCTAATTTATTCATCCATGTTTATACCTGAAAAGGTTAGATTGCAAATGGCAACCTACATAGGTGAAAGAGTCGGAAAAAGTAGAAGAGCATAACAAAGTTCCCATACAAGTAATCTAGTCTACATCATTCAACCATTGTTATCCATGAAAAGAAAAAAGTTACCATTTAACTTGTCACTTGCTCAACTTCCATATTTCTATAGAGGACGTACTCAACTGCTCACTATTTGTACATGGGAACAGATGATACTATCATCAAAAGCACAAAACACATGATATCTTCAGTTAAGAAGTATAAGCTACATGACAGTACACATGAATGTGATAAATCATGTTTCCAAAAAAGTCATAAGAATATTTATTTCACCTTTGCATTTTGCAGCTTCCTTCGTAGGTAAACTTTCACCATCAAACGCACAGAAGGTGTAAGAGATTTCCGCCTATCCTTATCAAGTTTCGAATACAATTGGCATTCAAGGCGATGCAAATTCCAATCTGACTTCTGGAAATGATAACAAATGCAGATAGAATGATAAATAAAGTGGAGGAGAAGGTTACAAAGTTGTTCCTCTCACTCAGAAACCAATGAAGTAGTTGGAGTAACAAGTTAATATCAACCTGGACAACTCAAGTGGGCATAACAGATGGTTACTGTGACAGTCATTAGGACATCCATGTGATAGTTATTGAAACACATGCTACACACTAAAAACATTAAGGAGGAAAAACTGTTCCGTAAAGGTAAATAATCATACTGCCTCTGTCACATTTTCCTCTTTGTTTTAATTTGTTTGCAAATATATCTTCAGTTATGCTATGTTGAATAAATCCAGATAAAGCAGATGACATAATGTTTACGTGAAACTGTGTAGCTAAGCCCACATATCTGAGCTGGAAAAGGATTACCGAAACACAATAATATGTGAACATGATACATACTGTTTATCTTTTGCCTACCTGGCATGTACGCCCACAGTACCAAACTACTTGACAAGCAGAACACTTTTTAAGGTTACTTGATGTGAAACACCACTCACATCTTGAATCCAAAGCTTTGTTTGGTACAGAAACATATGGTTCTTCACTCGTAATCACATCCCCTGTAATATTGAAGCTGTGTACTAGTGAAAATCAGGAGAGTAATATTCAGCATGTATCAACAATAGCTGTAACTTGATCATTTGACCTGGGTAACAAGTGCAAATGTCACCACCAATCTGAGAATAATATATGCTATCATTCATAGAGCTTGTTTTCCATGCAAGGATTTTATCAACATCTACTCCCTTTTAATGTCAAGCTGAGCCAAGTAAAGAAGAAATAAAACATTTGAGATTATCCATATCCTGAACTTCAAGCAATCTCTATGTCTATTTTTCTGGTACGATCAATTTTACAAAACTGCCAAACTCTACTGTTCACAAAAAATGTTTTTCCTCTGAACACATACATTATAGGAATGCATGGTCTGCTCACAATTAGAAAGATATTTACATATTTCAAAACTGTTCACAACTAGAAAAAGTGATAAAGACATTAGGCTATTTAGATCAATCTTCCATTAGAAATAACTAAGTCATACTAGAGAAATCATCAACAAAAATGACACAATACTAAAAACCAGAAATATTTTTTTGCTCTTACAAGACCCCAAATGTCTATATGAACAACATGAAACAGACTTGACTAACGACTTAAATAACTTGGCGGCAAAGAACTACAGTAATGCTAGCCTAATTGACAAGCCTCACATTCTAACACTGAAGAAAAACTCACACAAGGAACAACTTGACACTACTTTTGTAAAAATGGATGACCTAGGCGGAAGTACCACTGATGAGGAGACACGATGACACTCAAGACAGGAATAGAACCACCAATATTTAAGTAATACAAACCATTGCTCTCATGGCCCAAACCAATCACCTTTTTTATCTTGAAGTCCTAAAAAGCATAAGAAGATGGAGAAAAGGTTACGGAACACTATAATGACTTAGTTAGTTGACTCACATATAATAAGTTAAAGGTAAAATTAGAAAGAAACAAACCAGAAGTTAATGACATAGTTTGACTGGGACAAAGATTGTTAGTCCCACGTAGTGGTCGAAAGAAACCATCNAGAACACTATAATGACTTAGTTAGTTGACTCACATATGATAAGTTAAAGGTAAAATTAGAAAGAAACAAACCAGAAGTTAATGGCATAGTTTGACTGGGACAAAGATTGTTAGTCCCACGTAGTGGTCGAAAGAAACCATCAACTAACACAATAAGTGAGATAGACGAACGAAAGTTAGAGAATAGGGATGACATATAAGCACTAGCTCCTAAATCAATGATCCAAGAAGACGAAGAAGGTTTAGCAACTCTATATGTTGAGTTACTTACATTAACAAAACTAACAGTTGAAGTAGACAACTTGTGAAGGAGTTGATTAAGCTAATAAGACAGATCATCATGAGAGTTAGAACTAGATGCAACTGGGTCATTGGTAGAAATCTAATGTACTATTGAACCCAAGGTATTATTAGAAGCTTGATTAGCATGTGTTGGTCTCCTATACTTATCTCTACAATAATTCTCAATATGTCCTCTACCACCACAATGAGTACCCTTCCACACATAACAATAATCACGACCACTAAAATGACCATGGTTTTCGTAATGACAAACTTGAATGGTGGTTGTGGTGGATCGTGGTGGTGGATGTGATCCACCCTATAATGTCGATCTTGGTGGTCGGTCCATCCAACACTCCGATTGCCTAAAATCATACACAAATTCTCTTCTTCTCTTTCTTATTTTTTCTTGTATTTTTTGCATGTATCCAACTTCTATTAGATATAAAACATCAACCTTCATACCCTTAATGTCATGTGCAAGCCCCTACACCTTTCTCCTTCAATTTCTCTAACCCTAGCACACAAGTTAGCAAAATTATCCCTTAAAACACTATTCGCAGAACAGTGCTGATTTTTGCCTATCACCGTTGTCGAACATAAATTTTGGTATCACAACGAAAGATCCAATGTTCCACAGGTTGAGTTATGGGCCTTATGGCATATGACAACAGAGATTTTAGATTTTGAAGGAATGGATGATCCTACAATATTCTCCAATTCGCCTACTTCTATTGAAGAGTATTTTGCTAGGTATAATATGCCAAACGATCAAAGAGTGAGGTTTGCCAAGATGAAACTTGTAAGCTTAACAAAATTTTTGTGGTTCCATCAATCAACGCATGGAAAGAAATGAGAGCTAAGCTTCAAGAGAAGTATATGCCTTCAAATTATTGTGACAAGTTATGCAAGCAACTTATTAATCTACAACCAGATAACCTATCTGTCGTGGAATATATTCAAAGATTTGAAGACTTAATGTTCAAAAATCGTACCGTACAAGGTCCTCGTCAAAAAATTGCTCAATTCATGGCTGGGCAGAATTGCTTTGACTGCCACCATATAGTCTAAAGCATGCATTCGAATGAGCTCTTGGTACAGAGATGTACCTAAGTTTTCTTAATTGAGTAAACACCTAGACAATTTCTTCATCCTAGAAGGCTAAAGCTCAAATGTGTTCGCATCCTCATGAGGACCCGGAGAAGGTTCATCACAAGCATCTCAAAGCAACAAGCAACCCTATAATTCAAGCGGAAGAGGTAATTATTTGTCCATATATGAAGGTAAAAAGAGAATACGCGGACAATATTTTTGTTGTAAAGCCTAAAAGGATAGAAGAAACACAACTGGTATGGAATTAGATTTGCCCTTAGAGGTGACTACGTTACTATTTGAGAGTTTTGATATAGTGCCAAAAGATTTGTTGACTGAAGTACCTCCTACTGATTACTTTCAATCAATAACATTAGTACCTCAAGTACTTGATTTTTTTGAATCCTCCAAGAATCTAAACAAGCGCGAAGAGCCACTAATGTTTCTTTCTATCCAATTTGCTCCATCAATTGATTTTGTCATTCCAAAAAAGTTCGACAACACAATCAAGGAGATCAATCTCCAAATCTCTGCTCTATTTCCTTNGTACCTCAAGTACTTGATTTTTTTGAATCCTCCAAGAATCTAAACAAGCGTGAAGAGCCACTAATGTTTCTTTCTATCCAATTTGCTCCATCAATTGATTTTGTCATTCCAGAAAAGTTCGACAACACAATCAAGGAGATCAATCTCCAAATCTCTGCTCTATTTCCTTAATTCAAGAAGAAGAGGAGGTGTACCATCTTAAGGCTTTTCAAAGACAGCTACATAAGCAAGTTCAAAGCTTGTGGACTTTCATACTTCAACACTTTAAAACTCAAAGTTGAGTTTTCTCCGACCAAGGGAGAATGATGCAATCCATAAGACGTTCGACAAAATACAAGCTCAAAGACTTGACAAATTATGGAATTTGGCTTACTATCAAGATGAAGATTCACATGGAACCTTATNAGCTTGTGGACTTTCATACTTCAACACTTTAAAACTCAAAGTTGAGTTTCTCCGACCAAGGGAGAATGATGCAATCCATAAGACGTTCAACAAAATACAAGCTCAAAGACTTGACAAATTATGGAATTTGGCTTACTATCAAGATGAAGATTCACATGGAACCTTATATAATTATATAGGAGTCTTATTTTTCAAATAATTTGAGTTAGTTTGTTGGTATTTTTGTTTTATGTGTCTTTTAAAGTTTTCTAGGGTCAAGGGTATTTTTGTAATTTCTAAATTTGTCGGAAAGAATCATAGTTAGACTCGAGGGTTGTTTTTGGGTCATATTCTAGTGTTGGATATGCTAACATTTAGAATCCTAGTTTTAGTTTATTTTAGGTTTCTAATTTTAAGTAAATGAGTTTTNAAGGGTTGTTTTTGGATCATATTCTAGTGTTGGATATGCTAAAATTTAGAATCCTAGTTTTAGTTTATTTTAGGTTTCTAATTTTAAGTAAATGAGTTTTTTGAGACTTAGAGACTTTGGAATCCTAATTTTTTAAGATTAGGAATACTTAAAAATCTAAATATAGTTAATGGTATTTTTAATAAAGAATGGAGAGAGATATTTTCTGAAAATTTCGGTAATTATATACTTTTTGAGTTGTGTGATGCACTTCATCAAACCTTAGGTGTGATGTAGAGTGATTCCTAGTTCTCTTTTTCTTCTTTTTCTTCTTTTTACTACATGTTTCCACCTTCTACCAGATTTGAAACATCAACTTTGTTCCCCTTCAATTTCTCTAACCCTAGCATAAAAGATGACACATTTATCCTCTAAAATACTATTCATAACTTTGAACTGTGCTATTTTTTGCCAATCACCATTGTCCTACATCACATAATCAACATCACCATCACTCAAAAAAATGCATTTTGTACCGCTCCTTCACTACTAAAAAGTACGGACACAAATTTTACACGACACGGACACGAACACGCAGACACAACATTTCTCAAAAAAGTAGAACAAAGGCACGTTAGGAANTGGACACGAACACGAACACGCAGACACAACATTTCTCAAAAAAGTAGAACAAAGGCACGTTAGGAATACGTTATAAAAAATTATATTTTATATATAACATTATATAATTTATCGCAAATATAGTGATAATGATATACAATTCATAAAAGAATCAGTCTTTTATAATAAGTAAATCTTATGTGTAATTATCTGTGTAAATTTTTAGGCTAGAGCATCATCATAATAGTCAATAATTATTATTTTTTTTTGTAAACAATGTGNATAATAAGTAAATCTTATGTGTAATTATCTATGTAAATTTTTAGGCTAGAGCATCATCATAATAGTCAATAATTATTATTTTTTTTTGTAAACAATGTGTACCTAATATATAATTTAAATAATTACTCTCATATTCTCAATCTCTCTTTTTTAAAACTTTTGTGTTTCGTTTATTTTTATTATTATATTTAGACTATAATTTTAACATGTCTAGTATTAGAAATTTTATGTTCTCAAAATTTTAAACTTTGTTAATCACATTTCAACACATATTTATTGTTTAGTAAAAGAAACGTTCTAAAAAAGTATTGAACAAATTACCAAAGAAGTGTCGGACACGTGTCCGAAATTAAAAAATTTTATTTAATTATGGACACGGATAAAACAGTATCGGACACGTGTCTGAAGAGTGTTGGTGTCCGACACGGATACATCACCTTCTCAAGAGTGTCCGTATTTCATAGTTTCACTACATCATGTGCCCACTTACTAAGAGCATCCGCTACCTCT